CACCAGCATTTACTATCCTCTACTTTTTTGGTCTTTGTTGTTATCCTCTCACTTCTTATCAGCTGGACACTTCACTCTCTGCTTTAGTCCTCTGTGGCCTGTCACTGTCTCTGGGCCCAGGGTTCCCCAGGTCTTGACACATTGATGGCCAACCATGTCTCCACCCAGGTTGACAGGAGTCTATTGAACATGGTCAGACTGAGCTTACAGTTTCATTGTTGTTTTTCCCTCACTTCCTCTTATCATTGATCAACGTGGTCACCAGTCAGACCGCACACCTACTTATGTATTCCTCTTGTGTCTTAGTCTTGGAAGGAGGTTTGCCCTGAGGGGACCTGACCACTTGCCTTGATATCTCCTGGGTGAGCAGCTTTGTTCTTGTAGTATTCAGTCAGACAGAACAGGCTAATTTTTAAGTTGACAAATGATGTTATAAGTATACAAATGGCCCTTGGCACATAAAAAGTTCCCCACCCCTGCTATAAGGAGCTCTGGTAGCGTAGTGATTATGAATCGGGTTGCCAAACTCAAGGTCAGCAGTTTGAAACTACCAGCGGTTCCACGGGAGAAAGATGAGGCGGTCTGCTCCCGTAAAGATTTACAGCCTCGGAAACCCTGTGTAGGGTCTCTATGAGTCGGAACTGACTCCACGGCACATAATAACAACCCCTGCTATACAGATTCATTATGAATAGGAACCAACTCAACAGCACCTAACAACAGGCTCTGTTTTAGGTCTTATGGTGGGCCTACTGTCCAAGTCTGTTAGAGTGGAAGCAGCTGTAGGCAGTATGTAAAGGAATGAGCGAGGCTATGTCCCAGTAGCAGTTGCACAGACAGGCAGCGGGGCAGATTTGCCCACGATCATAGTTGGCCAACCCCTGCTGTAGACCAATGTGTCTCAACTCATGTGCCAGTGGTCAGTCCCAAGTACATACCAAATTCAGCCCCTTTTTGAGTTTTTAGAACACTTATTCGTGTGTCCTGTTTCTCTACACTTCTTGCCATCTGTCTTGTCACTTGATGGATTGTCTAAACTGCCCATAGCAAATCTGCCACAGCACAAGCTGCTTTTCCAAACCCCTCGTTCTTCATGTGCAAAAGGACCATGGGACGCAGTGTGGTGCACACAGTTTCTGCCCTTACAACGGAGCTGACCAGCAACAGAACCGAGACAGCCTAGTGCAGGCATTGTAGGGTCAGACCAGACTCTGCCGGCAGGTAATTTGTACCCTGTGGTTGCTCAGCAACAGAGCTAAGCCAGGTGACATTCTTTTCCATCAGAGGGTCTTAGCATGAGAAGGCCCAGCCTACAGTGAATTTGACTCTTGAAGGAACTCTTAAAGGAACATGACATTTTAAAAACAAGGATGCAGAATTGTTTCTTAATACATAGTATTTCACCAGCCAGTCAGGTGCTTGGTTCCAGGACCATATATGTGCTTCCCTGGAGTTAAGAAGTGACCTTTTTGGGGGGATGGCTGCTCTCACTAATACAGGTAAGGATAACTGCCTTTTTAATTCCGTACTCATCACAGTTCTATGCTTGTCAGAGCAGGGTTTTCAATGGCTGATTGTCTTCAGAAGTAGGTGGCCAGGCCTTTCTTCTGAGATGCTTCTAGGTGGACTAGACCCTCCAGACTTGAAGTTAGCAGCTGCACATATTGTTTGTACGACCCAGTGACTCTGTGCGCTTTGAAAAGGCCCTTGTGAATTTGGAAGCATTTCCTCATGTACATTATCATCTAAGGATCCCTGGCAGCTTGTGGATTACAAGCGGGGCTACTAACCGCAAGCTTAGCAGTTTGAATCTGTCAGTTGATCCATGGGAGGAAGATGAGGCTTTCTGCACCCATAAAAGTGTATAGCCTCGGTAACCCTATGCAGGGTTGCTATGAGTCGGAACCAACTCGGCACACAACCACCAACATCATCTTATCATCTGATCCCTACAATATCTGCAGGAAGTAGGTGGTGCTCCTGTGTTAAGTTTGAGGAAGCCGATTTTTATGACCCATGAAACCTAAAATAAAATAATCATTGTTGTTAGGTGCCATTGAGTCAGTTCCTACTCATAGTGACCCTGGATCAGGTTTCTGAGGCTGCAGATCTCTACAGGAGCAGAGATCCTCATCTTTTTCCTGTGGAGCAGCTGGTGGATTCAAACCACTGACTCTGTGGTTAGCAGCCCAATGTGTAACCCACTACACTACCTGGAGTGTGGACTCTAGAAATGTGGGCCCCGAATCAGGTACACCCACTAAGTCTCAGTGCCTTAGTCTCTACTGCTGCTGCTTCTCAGCTGCCTGAGGGGTTGGTGGGGACCAGAGGTTCAGCCCAGAGTCACCACTGTCCCCTCACCGCTATCCTGTCCAGCATGTTTGCTGTCTGACAGGACAGAGGGCCCACTGCCCCAGAGGAGGGGTCACATGAGTGGGTGAGGGGAGGGGCCAGCAAGGCCCAGAGGTAGGGGCAGGCATGGGGTCTGGGCTCAGCTGAGGAGTTGGACCACAGGGGCCAGCATGAGGGCATCCAGGTGGGTGACCACCTTCTGGGGCAGAGCTGACTTTCAGAATCAGACTGATTGCTACTGCTTTGGAAACCCACTGCTTTCTGGTCAATACCGACTTGTAGCAACTCTCTATGACAGAGTACAACTTCAAAGCGTTTCCAACACTATAAATCTTTATGGGAACAGACAGCTTCATCTTTCTCCCATGGAGAAAAGATGGTGGATTTGAACTGCTGACAGTTAGCAGTGCAGTGCTTAACACACGACACCACCAGGGTTCCTTCTCCTTTGGAAAAAAGGGTAAAAATGAACACTAACCTTGCTCTAGGTTCAGCTGCTTGAGTCTCTGAAGCCCTCTGCTTTGGGGAATCATCTCCTGGTTTGCATTTAATTTTTAGAAGAAAAGAACTGTTTTTCTTTTTAAAATGTCATGAGACTCCAGGATCTTCCAAGACCATAAAAAAGAAATCCCAAAGTCTAGAATGCCTGAACCTTAAGGGGTTGCCGAGTTAGTGTGGGCCCAGAGCAGTGGTCTGCTCTCATTCCCGACCTCCCAAGAGCTCTCCTGGGCTCTAGCCCCTCCAGAGGAGCTGCTGGCTTCGCCCTTGCCCCGGTCTCTTTGTTATATTGCTTCTAAGAAGTAGATCATTTTTAAAGCTAGGCTTTGTTTTAAACCCTTGTGAATTTTTTGTTACATTGAACCTTTCCACAGCTAACTTCTCAAATCTTTGTTTACCTAGATGAGGAGAAGAAGCGGCCTGGTATTTTCCATGCATTGAAAATGGGTGAGTGCTTTAGAAAATCTTTGTGGGTATTTAAGAATAAGGTGCCACATTCTTCCTGCCTAATATTTGCAGCCCTTTCAAGGCTACCAGAAGGATTTGAGAAAGAAGCTGGCATTTTATTGTTCCCTAAATCTACAGTTTCCCCCAGAGGCTCAGATGTTGGCAGCTGGTGCTTCTGGGGCTCAGCATGTAGATCCCAGACCTTCCTTCATGACCCTTTCCAGCAAAACTCATGGGCTTTACCCTGATGTTTCCCTATACCCAAAATGCCTCACTCCCTACCCACCCACCGCTTTAATCTCTGAGTAATAAGGGACTATTTAGCCTGAAATTTCCTTCCCACAAGAAGAGCCCCACCTCCAGGAAGCCTTCCAGGATTCCCACCCAAACTCATGGCCCTTCATCTGTCATCTTCCCCTGTCCTCGTTGGACACCGACAGCACTTCCGCCTTTTGGTAAAGCTATTTGGGTACTGGAGTCCCTAAGTGGTGCAAACAGTTAAGCGCTTGACTGCTAGCTAAGAGGTTGGCAGTTCAAACCTACCCAGAAATACTGTGGAAGATAAGCCTGGTGATCGGCTTACAAAAAGTCACAGCCTTGAAACCCCTGTGGAGCAGTTCTCTGTACACATGGGGTGGGTGGCCATGAGTCTCTGTCCCTCATAGACTGGGGGATTCAAGAGTATGAATTATTTCTGAGCCATCTCTCCAGCCCCCATGATGCCCAGCAGGCCGGCACAGAGGTAGACCCAGGAAACATTTGCTACACGAACCAAAGGACTAAAGTCTGTAGTACAGGCCTGTGAGTCACCAGGGCTCCTGCTTGTGTTTGCAGGAAACTTCCAGCTGGTCAAGGAGATTGCCGATGAAGACCCCAACCATGTGAACATGGTTAATGGTGACGGGGCGACCCCTCTGATGCTAGCCGCTGTCATGGGTCAGCTGCCTCTGGTGCAGCTGCTGGTGGAGAGGCATGCCGATGTGGACAAGCAGGATAGCGTGCACGGCTGGACCGCCCTCATGCAAGCTACCTATCACGGGTGAGTGCTTCCGCGGGAGGCAGCAGGGGTGCTGTGGTCTGAGACTGGCCCATCCCAGGGGCTCTGTGGGGTTCCTGGTCCTGAGATGTTACAGATTAACCAGGCTGTGAAGTTGTGGAGGCATGCATACAAGATTGAAGCTGTGCAGGCTCATTGTGCCCTGCCTCCCTGCTCTTCAGTGTGTTTCTTGTTGCCTTGCCACAGGTTTGACCTTTGGCCACTAAAAGCCCTAGGGGCATCTTAATGCACGCAGGTGAGTGTCTATAGGTTTACGTCAGTTGAATAGCGATCGGCTCATTTGGAGTTTTCACACTAAGATAAAATGGCCTCCTTAAGCTGCCCCTATGCAAAATGCCCAACAGAATGCAGAAATCATCGGATAATCTCTTTGATGTCCCATGCGAGTTAAGTTTTGCTAAAGGTAATACAGAAATGGCTACAATCATACATTGACAGAGAACTTCCAGAGGTTCAAGCCGGATTCAGAAGAGGCCGTGGAATGAGGGATAGCATTGCTGATGTCCGATGAATCTTGGCTGAAAGCAGAGAATATCAGAAAGATGTTTACCTGTGCTTTATTGACTATGCAAAGGCTTTTGATTGTGTGGATCATGACAAGCTATGGACAAGTATGAGTATGAGTATTCCAGAACACTTTATTGTGCTCATGAGGAATCTGTACCTGGACCAAGAGGCAGTTGTTCGAACAGAGCATGGAAACACTGAATGTTTTAAAATTAAGAAAGGTGTGCGACAAGGTTGTATTCTTTCACCATATTTATTCAACCTGTATGCTGAGCAAATAATCTGAGAAGCTGGGTTCTATGAAGAAAAATGTGACATCTGGATTGGAGGAAGACTCATTAACAACCTGTGATATGCAGATGATACAACCTTGCTTGCTGAAAGTGAAGAGGACTTAAAACATTTACTGATGAAGATCAAAGAGCACAATCTTCGGTATGGATTACATCCCAATGTCAAGAAAACAAAAATCCTCACTTCCCAATAAACCACATTCTTATCAATGGAGAAAAGATTCAAGTTGTCAAGGACTTAATTCTTCTTGGATCAGCTATCAACACTCAGGGAAGCAGCAGTCAAGAGATCAAAGAGCGTATTGCATTAGGCAAATCTGCTGCACAGGAACTTTTTGAAGTGTTGAAGAGCAAAGATGTCAGCTTGAGGACTAAGGTGTGCCTGAACCAAGCCATGGTGTTTTCAATAACCTCATATGCATGTGCAAGCTGGACAGTGAATAAGGAAGACTGTAGAAGAATTGATGTCTTTGAGTTATGGTGTTGGAGGAGAATATTGAAAGTGCCATGGGCTGTCAAAAGAACCAATAGATCCGTTTTGGAAGAAGTGCAGCCAGAGTGCTCCTTAGAGGCCAAGATGGCCAAACTTTGTCTATTATACTTCGGACATATTGTCAGGAGGGACCAGTCGCTGAAGAAGGATATCATGTTTGGTAAGGTGGAGGGTCAGTGAAACAGAGGAAGACTCAAGCATGGCAACAGTAGTGAGGTTGGCCCAGGATCGGGCAGTGTTTTGTTCTGCTGTGCATAAGGTTGCTATGGGTCTGTACCAACTTGATGGTACCTGACAACAACAACAAAAATGCGAAAGGAACAGATACCATCGGCCAGTCATGCCGTTTGCTTCTGGGAGACTTGATGATGAGGCTCATAGTGACCCTGTCCATGTGAATAGGCTCTTGTATCTATCATTCAGCTGTGACAAGAAATTTGGAAGAGAGCTACTACGTCAACCAATTGGAAGAGATCCATATTTATGCCCATTCCAAACAGAGGTGACCCAATTGAAGGCGGAAATCGTTGAACAGTATTGTTAATAGCACATGCAAGTCAAATTGTCCTGAAGATAATTCAAATGCAGCAGCAACAGTACATTGGCAGGTAACTACCAGAAGTTCAAGGTGGATTCAGACAAGGGAACTAGGGATACCATTGCTGATGGATCGCCACTGAAAACTGACTACCAGAAAGATGTTTTCTTATGATTTATTGACTATACAAAGGCATTTGACTGTGTGACTCTTAACAAACTATGGATAACATTATGAAGAATGGGTATTCCAGAACATTTAATTGTGCTCATGAGGAACATGTACATAGATCATAACGTAGTCATTCACATAGAACAAGGAGATACTAAATGGTTTAAAATATATCATGGTTGTATTCTTTCACCATACTTTTATTCAGTCTGTATGCTGAACAAATAATCCTATAAACTGGATTATATGAGGAAGAACATGCCATCAGGATTGAAGGAAGGCTCATTAACAACCTGCAATGTACAAATGATACCATTTTGGATGCTGAGAGGACTTAAAATACTTACTAATGAAGATCAAAGGCTATAGCCTTCAGTATGGATTGCACCTCAATATTAAGAAAACAAAAATCCTCACAATTGGACCAATAAATAACAACATGATAAATAGAGAAAAGATTGAAGTTGTCAAAGACTTCATTTTGCTTGGATCCACAATCAGCACTCATGGAAGCAGCAATCAAGAAATTACACGATGCATTAGGCAAATCTGCCACACAAGACTTCTTTAAAGTGTTCAAGAATAAAGATGACAGTTTGATAACTAAGGTGTGTCTGACCCAAGCCATGGTATTTTCAGTAGCTTCAGATGTAGATGAAAGTTAGAAAATGAATAAAGAAGACTGTAGATTTGATGCATTTGAGTTATGGTGTTGGAGATGAAAATGCCATGGACTGTAAGAACAAGAGAATCTATGTTGAAAGAAGTACAACCAGAAGGCTCCTTAGAAGCCAGTAGGGCAAGACTTCATCTGTCATACTTCAGACATGTTATTAGAAGCAGCCAGTCCTTAGAGAAGAACATCATACTTGGTAAAGTGGAGGGTCAGTGAAAAAGAGGACGACCTCCAATGACATGGATTGGCACAGTGGCAGCTACAGTGGGTTCAAATGTAACAATAATTGTGTGGATGGCTCAGGACCAGGCAGTGTTTCATTCTGTTGTGCATAAGGTTGTTATGAGTTCAAACTGACTCATTGGCACCAAATAACAACAACAACTGGCATCTGCCTGGTGCTTTGAGATCCTTTCTCGCCTGATCATCCCAGCACTCCTGGAGGCATGTTTGGGGTGGGGCTTAAGGAGTGTAGAAATCTACACCCAGTCTCTCAGCTGCTAAGCAATTTGGCTTCAAATTCAGAAATGTCTTTCTTTGCTGTTCTTAGTCTCCATGCTGCTGTAACAGAAATACCCAAGTGGGTGGCTTTAATGAACAGAAATGTTTTGTCTCACTGTTATGCAGGCTAACAGTCCAAATTAGAATTGCAGGCGCACTGGTTCCCTCTGTGAATCTCCCTCCTAGTGATTGGCTTCTGCCAGCGAGTCTAGATGTTCCTAATCCTTACGTGGCGTCTGCCTTCTCCCTGTGTGTCTTTGTTTCTCTTCTGGTCTTTTTATAACTCAGAAGTGATTAGGTGGAGGGTCTGCCCTGCACAGGTATGACCTCAGTAACATAGCAAAAGAAAAGCCCGATTTCCAAAAGGGACCACATCCATAGGTACAAAGGCTGGGAATTCAGCACGCTCTCTTGGGAAAACAGTTCTGTTTCTAGTTGGCTGTGTCACGTCCCTGCATCTCCTGGAAGCAGTTGTTTTTCTCATTTGGTGAATTTCAGACTTCTAGCATCATGGGCTTTCAAGGCCTTCACAGTGGGGTCCTCAGTGGGGGGTGGGGGAGCTACGTGTGGTTGTCAAGGCCCTGTGTGTTTTGGGCAGAGCCTTTGGTTTTCATTATACTCATGGAAGGAATATTTAAGCTTTGGTGTAAGTCTGACCTGCTGGAGTGGTAGGAAATGATGGAGCATTTGGAGGGTTAGCAATTTTCCATGCCCTTCTCAAATGCTCGGAGGCTAAGAGCCGTAGTTAACACTGCCAGTCTTGTTGCCCTGGAGCAAGGCCACACTTTTGCTCAAGGTAGGTGTAAAGCTGGGTTTTCCTTTCTTCCATAGGAATAAAGAAATCGTCAAATATCTGCTAAACCAAGGAGCTGATGTCGCCCTTCGAGCAAAGAACGGATACACGGCCTTTGACCTCGTGATGCTGCTGAATGATCCCGGTGGGTTATTTAGAGAACAGTGTTGTGCTTCTACCCAGCCTTTCTCAGCCTGCTACTCAAGAGCCCTCTCACCTCTGCTAGCCATGCTTGAAGCACTTGCTGGTTCAGGGGAGAAAGCATTTCAAGTCCTAAGTGCTCACCACCTGATTCCCCTCCTCTGGGCACTCCTGGGCTTAGACTGCTATCACTGAGGCTTGTTTCGACACCAACCTTCCAGGTATCTCCAAGGAGGCTGACCAGGTGTGTGTCTGGCCTTGCTGTGTGCGCGAATCCACTGGAGCGATAGCTCTGCACTGTAGCCTGGAGTTGAGTGACTTGGGAGACACTCAGCAGAGCTGTTCACCAGCAGATGCAGAGTTGGAGCAATGATGCCCTTGGCCTAGCTCTGCAGGTGGAGGCTAAAGGGACAAGGTCATCATCAGCCCTGCCATACTTACCCCCTGATGCTCTGCTTTGACCCTTCTCTACTGGAACAGGGTCTCTCTGCTCTGTTGTCTCTGCTACACCCCTGGAGATGGAGCCCAAAGGAAGGAGATGCTGGGAGGCCCTCTGGCCCACAGCTTTGAAGCCTGTGCCGGGATCCTAACCTGCTAGCTATCAGGGGTGGACTTTAACCTCCACAGTCCCAAGGGAGGTTACTCCTGCTGCTCCATTGCAACTCATAGCTAAGGGGGTGACAGGCACCCTTACCTGCTGCAGGCCCTTTACACGTCTCAGGTACACACTTGCTTCCCTTTGGTCCTCTCGAGATTTCTGAGGTGAAGAGGAGCAGTCGAGTCCAGAGGAAGTGCCTTGACCAAGGATATTAGCTAGGGAGTTGGGGTCCTCTACCCCAAGTCCAGTGACCTTGCTTAGCCTAATTGAACTCCCTTCTCATGTGCCAAGAATTGACATTGTTCAGACCCATAACCTCTCAGTGACCCTGGGTGGGATGATGCACACACGTGTTTTTTTTGGTGAACTCCTCTCTTTCAGTGTGGTTCTTCTCTCTGCCTCTTCTCCCGAGCTCTACCTCCAGCTTCCTACTCCCTTTCCCAATAAAACACTCTACCCCTAGTGGATATTTGTTTCCCTAGTGAATTTTTAAATGAATTTTGTGTGGCGCTGTAGGATAAGGGCAGCGGTTCAAACCGCCAACTGCAGCTGCTTCTCGGAAACCCTAAACAGGGTCACTGTGAGTCAGAACTGATTTGACAGCACTTTAAACAACAGCAAATTATTTAAAGAAACCAAATGGACTGCCATCAAGTCCCTTTTGTGGGGTTCCTGAGGCTGTAGGTGTTTATGGGAGCAGCAAGCCTCATCTGTTTCTCCCATGGAGCTGCTGGTGGGTTTGAACTGCTGACTTTACAGTTTAGCAGTCCAGTGGCTATTCTACATGCTTATTATTGAACAGTTGGAAGGGAAACAAAACAATTGTTTCAAGAAAAACACTCTCAAGTAGACATTTTGGAGTTATGTCTGGCTCAGTCTTTTTTTGAGGTTTGTTTTTTAATGTAGTAAAATTGATAACTCAGACTATCTAACCTTTCTTAAGCACTTACCGCAGCCCACACACTCCTAAGTAGGAATTCCTTGGGACCCTCAGATACCTCTATGTGCTGGGGACCCTGCTGGCCCTGTTCTGCAGAGGCACAGAGAGACTGTGTCGTTTACCTCTGTTAAACACACTGCCCTATCTTGCTGCTGGAGAGAGCTTCTGGTCTTCATTCTGGATAGACAGGCTGGTTCCTGCACAGCCACTTTGTGAAGATCAGATGCAGAGCTGGTTTCCATCGTTTTATTTTGGAAGGAGCACAGGCCCTGGAGCTCCAGGACTGAATTCTAAGGTGGACAGGCATTGTCCTGGGACGCATGTCCATGGCCCAACAGTCATATTTGCAGGTAAAACACTGCCTTTTGTGTCCATAGACACCGAACTTGTTCGACTGCTGGCATCTGTCTGCATGCAGGTGAATAAAGACAAAGGCCGGCCCAGCCACCCCTCGCCCCCACTCCACTCAAAGGCCAGGCAGCCCTGGAGCCTCCCAGTCTTGTCGGATGACAAGGGTGGATTGAAGGTTTGCCTTTTCTTGTCTTTAAGGGATGGGGGTGGGGGTGCTCTGAGAGCCAGGGCTGGGCAGATGGGGGCGGCTGGAGTGTATCTGCCCCTTCCTGTTAAACTCCCTTCTAGCTCTCCTTTTGTAGAGCTCCTCCCAGGGGCCTGTTGCTGCTAGCCTTGGCTCTGTATATAGGAAGATCTGCTGATTACACTGCTCCAGGATCCCCTCCAGTCCTCGCCCCCATCAGCTGCTGCCTAGAAAACCCCAAACAGTGCTAGTTGGTTATTTCCAACTGCCAGCTAAGTGTTTGCTGTGCTTTTCTGGTCTGGAATCAGTTACCCTTTTTCCTGAAAACAAAACACAGACCTTTTCTCCTGAGCACCCCCACCCCACCCCATTACATATAGCTTACCCACAGTCTTCCCTTGCCTGCACAAGTGGAATTCCTGATGTGCCCATTTTCCACTCCAGGATTCCTCCTTCTAGTGTTATGGGTGTACCCCTTCATCCCATCCTCACTGCTGCCCCTGTGACCTCCCTGACCTTTGAGATGTCATGGGGTCACGGGGGCCCGACCGCCCTCACATTATCTCTGGGATGCTGGAAGGTGGTGACACGGTGATAGACATTAAGGCATGTGGGGGATATCCAACAGATAGATGAAGGTCAGCAAATAGGTTCTACTGCCACTTCCAGTCCACTGGAAATGGCCATCTGGCCAAGAAACATTTAGAGGCTAACTGTGGCTTATTGGGAGAGGGTTCTGTGATTGATGAGTAATGCCTGCCGTGGGCACAGGCAGGGAGGGGAAGCGTGTGTGCAGTGCATCCCCCTCAGCTGTTATTGTAACAGGAGCTCTGCTCACCTTCCCTTGGCAGTCCTGGTGGAATCGCATGTCTAATCGATTCCGGAAGCTGAAGTTAATGCAGACGCTGCCCCGTGGACTATCCAGCAACCAGCCTTTGCCTTTTTTGGATGAGCCTGAGCCAGCACTGGACTCCACCATGAGAGCAGCCCCCCAGGACAAGGCCAACCACTCTGGGCTCCCTGATGTGGCTCCCATCACCAAAGACAATGGTAAGGAAGGCAGCATATGGGGGAATTTCCAAAATGGTCTGAACTCCCCATTCTTTGGACTTTGTCTTCCTTCCTGAACACTTGGCATAGGGGCAGTGTGGCTGGCCAGACAAAGAAGAGTCTTAAGCAGGGATAGATGGGCGTGCACTGTCCGGCTTCCTGTGACATGCCCTGCCGAGGGTACTAGGCCAATGCCTCTCTCTGGCCTTTCTTAGGAGGGAAAAATCATCTATCAAATGAAATTGGTCTTTTGTCGTTAAACGGGTCTTAAAATAGCATACGTTATCTTAGGTGGAGAAGTGAGCTCCCCATTGCTGGAGGTAGTCAACAGACTGGATGACTTTTGCTAGAGCTCTGAAGGATTTCCCACGTAACCAGGAAGTTGGTTCAGTTAAATCCCTCCCACAGCTGGTCAGCAACTCTTCGCCCACACGGCGCCTTTGCCACCACACTTGGAGACAGAGTATTGAACTAGGTGCCCCACTGTCTGACTCAGCTCAGCAGTGGTTCATGGAAAAGCTGAAAACGTGCTCAGAGATATTTTTTAAATGCCTTCCTTCTAGTAAAATATTGAATACCAATTATTAATGAATATTTAATCAAACTCAAGGGAGTGTGTTTTCCAGAATGAAGGCCAGCCTGGCCACTTATTCTCAGACCATGGACAGGTGGGGAGGTCATTTCAGGAAAGTTCCATTTGTCTCTCAGGTCCTGGGAGCACAAGAGGAGACAAGGAAGACACATTATTGACGACCATGGTGAGTTCAGGGTCCCTAGTGTTCTCTAGCCAATCATTAGATGATTGATTTACAAGGAGGCATATGGGCCTTTTGGCTGTCTGTGGTGGTCACAACTGGGGGTGATGATCCAAACGTGTAATAGTGGGTAGAGCTTGAACAGCAACAAATCGGAACAGACACTGACCCTAAGCAACAAGTAAAGCTCTACTGATGCTTAGAGGCTAATGTACGTCCTGCTCATGTTCTCAGGGCTGGTATCACAGGACCGAGATTGAAGGGAAAGGAATTACTGGGTGACACTCACCTCTTTTGGTCATGGAGAGTCAGGGAGAAGCATCCAAGAGAGGCTGTGTGTCTAGGCTGAGAGACGCCTCAAATTCCTAACCTGTATGCTTGAGATGTATTTCGATTAGCTTCAGTTATAAATAATAGAAGCACCCAAAGAGCAGTGGCATAAATAAGAAAGAAACTTTTCTTCCAAGTGAATGAAGGTCAGGACTGGTACGTGCTCTGTAGAGTGTGGGACCATGGTTCCTTCTATCTTGTGGGCCCACCACGATTGGCTTCCATTACCAGGGTTGCCTCATGACCCAAGATGACTGCTGGAGCTCTGGCCATCACTGCCTCATTTCAGTCAGCAGGAAAGAGAAGGGGAAAAGAGGCAACCAGAGACACATGCCACCTCTCTTTCAATGATGTTCCCTGGAGACTGCCACATGCTTTCATCTCATGGGCCAGGACTTAGTCACATGGCCACATCATTTGTGTGGGAGGCTGGGAAATGAAGTCTTTCTTCTAGATGGCCTTGTACCCACCTAAAACTCAGTCATTACTAAAGAAGGTGTTGGGAAGGGATACTGGGGGCAGTTAGTCTCAAAGTTGATGGTGTTATCATGTGGTTATCAAATGGGATCAGCCTTAGGAAATTGTTAGCATAGCACCTGGTCCAAGATAAGCTCTCGTCATTTTTGGGGGGCCTTGGATGTGTTATTTCACCTCTCTGGGCCTCACTTTCCTCTTGTTTGAAATGAAAGCCTCCTAAATGGATTCAAGTGGCTTTATTGTTGAGGCGCTGCCTTGTAGGCTGGCCAGAAGAGGGCAGTATTGGAGAGGAGAAGGGAGCAGGGATCCCAAGAATCAGGGCTGTATGGCTGGGAATTGCACTGCCACGCCCCACCACCAATAAGGTTAAACCCGGGTCTCTGCACACTGACTAGGATCAGCACTGGACTTCGAACCATAAGGTCGGCAGTTCAAACCCACCAGATGCTCCTTGGAAACCTGTACAGGGTCTCTATGAATTGGAACCGACTGGACAGCACTTAACAACAACACAGTGACTGGAGTCCTGGGTGGCACTGTAGGATCAGCACTGGACTGTGAACCACAAGGTTGGCAGTTCAAACCACCAGACACTCCTCGGAAACCCTATACAGGGTGGCTATGAGTCGAAGCTGACTTGACGGCACTTAACAGCTCATTGACCGTGGAAGCTTTTACTGCCAGACACCTGATAATGCTTTAAATGAGTAGTTACTTTCAGTATAAAGTCAGAAACGCTGTTGTAGAAATTTGGGGAAATCCAGGAAAGTATAAAGGAGACCCATGAACTCACCCATGGTGAGTTCACTTAACTCCATGCCCAGATAGAATCCTAATTGCCATTTTACTGTGTGTATCTTTTAAATAAGCTTTCGCAGGATTTTTAACATCTACAGATAAGATGCTGTGTTTAAAAGGATAATAGAAAGTATCTAACTGCGTTTATTAACTGTTGGCCACTGTTCAAAGCACCTTGTTGTTGTTAAGTGCTGTCAAGTCAATTCTGACCCATAGTGACCCTGTATAGGGTTTCTGAGGAGCGGCTGGTGAGCTAGAACTGCTGACCTTGTTCAGAACAACGTTGTATCCCAGTTGCACAAACCCGCAGCACCACACCAGAACTTGAAACCCTTTACATACATTAACTCTTTTCCATCTCCACAATAACTAGTCTTGGGAAGATTGTGTTGAACCTGATTTTTTAAGAGTTTGACATGACCACATTTTCTGTATCGTTAAACATTCTTTGTCCCTTGGTGACACAACCTGAAAGTTTGGTGGTTTGAACCCACCTAGAAGTGCTTCAGAAGAGCCTCTGGAAGTCTGCTCAGAATCCCTGTGGAGCAGTCCTGCTCTGCACACGGGCACCTTGACAGCAGCTAACAACAACAGAAGCACTTTCGCTGCGTCATAGTTCCTGACTGCACAGCACCGCAGCTCAGCTGGGCTTTGGGGGTTTCTAGGGTTTTCTTCTTTTATTAGGGCTCTGATGGATGTCCTTACACCTCAGCTTTCTCTACTTACCTTATTATTTCCTCAGAATAACTATCTGACATAGAACTCTTAGGTCACAGGTTGTTGTTGTTAAGTGCCATCGAGTCGGTTCCGACCCATAGTGACCCTGTATAGGGTTTCTGAGGAGCACCTGGTGAGCTTGAACCGCCGACCTTGCTGTTTAAATGGCTTTGCAGTCTGGCACGTTAACCCAAAGAGCCACGCCAGGACTCCTTAGAATAGTTGTTGTTAAGTGCCATCAAGTCAGTTCCAGCCCTTAACGACCATGTCTACGGTTTCTGAGGCTTAGTCTACAGTTTCTGCTGGAGCAGAAAGCCTTGTCCCACAGAGCAGCTGGCGGGCTTGAACCACAGACCCTGTGGTTCAGAATCCAGTGCTTGCCGGAATGGAGCCCGCGTATGAATACCATAAAGTTTACAGTGGTCTAGACTTTCACCCCTGGGTTCTTAGCCGTCTCCCAGTGGGCCCCCCCATTCCCCTATGTTTGGGATACAGTTGTTGAAGACCGGAGAGGAACCGCTCATGTTCATGGACTTGTACAAAAACAGGACAGGCTATGGTGGGAGCCCATACACCTGCCCCTCCTGCCCTGACACTCTCTTGTCCAGCTTGCCTGTGGCAGATGGTGGATGGCCGGGCACCCGGCTGAGTGGGCCTTTGCAGCCATAGGCATGGAGACACCCGGCTGCCCAGCTCCCGAGGCAGATTTAGCTGTGGGATGCCCTTCCCTGCAAAGCTCCATCTGGCATGGAGTTCATGGTCGGTCTTAATTAAAGCTAGTATGAACTGTGAATGTTCTTCCTTGAAGATCAGCAGTCATCATGGTGTGGCTTTTATGCTGACCCCAAATCATGTTTCAGACATAAGATTAAATTATGGTAGAAAGTCAGCAGTGGAAGGTGTGGCTGGCCTGAGGGAAAGCCTGGTGGGATGGGCCACTGAGAGCTGGGCTTCCAGCCCCTCATGCTTTCCTCCTCTTCTGAAGCCCCCAGCTTTGGCCACACCAGTCTCCTTGTGGTTCTGCACACCTTGTCCTGCTCCTCTGGTCTCAGGCCTTTCCATGTTGTGCCTGGGGTGCCCATCCCCATCCGCACCAGGCCAACTTGCAATATCTTCAAACTCAACTCCTCCAAGGTGCCCCTCATAGCCTCCTGAGCCCCATGCGGCTCTCCGACGCCTGCCCCTACTCTGCTCCTGCTGCTGGAGTTGGAGCAAATCAGGCGAGGGTGTTGCTGGATCGCTGGGAGAAGAACCAGGGACATCACTGTGGTTGTAGCCTGGGTGGAGGGATGGGGGTGGCACTCTCTGAGAGCTAGGGCCTAGAGCCTCCCTGGTGCATGTCTAACCCATGTCCTGTCTTTTTCAGCTTCGAAACGGAGCCCCCTTCACCAGACTCCCAAGTGACAAGCTGAAGGCAGTGATCCCCCCTTTCTTACCCCCTTCCAGCTTTGAACTGTGGAGCTCCAATCGGTCCCGGACATGTCGCAACGAGAAGACAGACCCCATGAAGACTGTGCTGCCCCACAGAGCCAGCAGGGGCCACGCCATGGGCGGGAGCATGGATACTGTAAGCCGTTGGCTGGCACGCTGTTAGCATCAGGGAACCTAGTGGGGCCTGGTGTGACTGGAGCAGAGGGAAGGGGAAGGGCTGAGGAGGCTGGGTTGGAGAGGGATGTGACCCTGAACCCCAGGAAAGGCTTCTTGAGGTGGGGACCTGGAGCCGGCCATGAAGGGTGGGCACACTGCAGGCTTTTGGACCAGCGGGGCAGCAGGGTAGATGTAGGCTCAGGCTCAGCCGGTGCTGAAGGGACTGGGTTATGTCTTGCTTGTGATGAGGGCCTTAAGCGGGTCTTTAAGGAAGATGCAGTCAAGTTTTCTCAGCACTAGCATTGGGTGGTGCAGTGGTTAAGCGCTGAGCTGCTAACTGAAAGGTTGCTGTTTTGAACCCACCAGCTGCTCAGCAGCAGGATGTGGCAGTCTGCTCCTGTAAAACCCTGTGGGGCAGTTTGACAGTTTGGTAGGGGCACTGAGAGTTGGAATGGACTTGGCGGTCACAAGAATTGAATGAGGCTGAGCACAGGGTGGCTTGAGGGGATGCACCCATGTCCTGGGGCCTCAGCCTGAGAGCCATCTGACAGCCGGGTCGAAGCCCCCACCCCTTAGTGATTCCCAGCAGGCTGAGCGCCAGCTGACAAGAGTATGTTGGTGGGGGCCATGGGAGTGCACATGATGGCTTGGGTCAGCTGATCTCCAGGGTCCCGTCCCACTAATCTGGAGAGAGGAACAGCAAGCCGTGACCATGCCCCTCATCCCCTTCTTGCAGGCTTCCATCAGGCCCGTTAAATTCCCAAGTCTTTCCAGAAGCCCAGCATCTCCCACCAATTCTGGAAACTTCAACCACTCTCCTCATTCCTCAGGCGGCTCCAGCAGCATAGGGGGCATTAGCAGGCACAGTGGGGAGCTGCATAACCGCTCAGGTGGGTCTCCAACTGGGGCTGAGGATGTTAACGACACCCACTTGCCGATGATCCCAGAACCGACTCACACACCCTGTCTTTCTCCTTAATATGGACAAAGGAGTTTTCTGCGGGGTCTCCACTCAGAGTATTTTTATGCATTTTCTTTGCAGGGAGAGGACTGAGAGAGGAGGGAGGAAATATAGTCTATCATACTTTATTTCCTTGTAGAACTCTACCAGACATTTCAAGGAAATGTTTGGTGTTGCAAATCTTAGAAGGTCAAACCTGAGAGCTTTTCATGTAGTCCTTTCGTTGAACAGAGAGGAACTGAAGCTCAGAGCAAGCAAGAGCTTTGCCCAGGGTCACACAGCAAGTTGGTGACAATTAAAACTTGAACTGTGCCCCACAGTTATTTTATATTACAGCATACTGTTTACACCTCCTTGAGGTAATCCAGGATTATTAACCTTTAAGATTAGATAAACAAAAAGACTTAAAAAAAACCCACAAATAGCATATAATCTTAACCCACTAGGGATCATCCTTAACATTTTTTGGTATAAATCTTTGCAAAGTCTTTCTATGCACATTATGAGTATTTATAGAAGCTAAAGAATAATGCATTAAGCTCTTAGTACGTGCCAGGCACAATGGCAGGACCTTCCCATGGATGATCTCATTCAGCCCCCATCCCCAGCCCCAGCCTGTAAGTTTATTGCCTCTGTTTTGCAGAAGAGGGAAGGGGGGGTGGGGGGGCTCAGAAAAAGCTGAAGAACTCGCCCAGGGTCGCATAGCTATTAGGTAGCAAAGCCAGGACCCGAACCCAGCAATCAGACTTCAGAGCCATTCTCTTAATCCACTGAGGTGCAGAATGTTTTATAATTGACTTCCCTCCCCGTTAGTGTATTAGCAACACTATCTCATTCCCATGTACATATGCCTACAGCATCTTTTCAATAACTTAATGATACCCATCAGTATGACGTATCAGTGTATTTAACCAGTTCCCCTTGTTGAACACTGAGGTGGTTTCTAGGTTTTTGCTCTTACAGGTAATATCCTTGTACCTCCAAACAATGCCGTACGTAACACAGGTTCCCTAGAATCGGGAAGAACCGGTCAATAGGTTTGCCTATTTTTGAGGTTTTCGATACATTTTGTCCTCCCGAATAGTTCTATCTGTCTGTACATTTACAATATTTGCAGCCTGGCACTGAGGAGTTCGTGCTCTGTAAATGCTGCTGCATCTGTGCCGTGAAGGATTGGGGTAACTGTCAGCAGGGTGGGCACTGGCAGAGTTGCTGGATGTTGGAAAAGAAGGACGTAGCTGACCAGGATACCCTTCACAGTGTGGTGGTGACTTCCTCACTTTCCCTCTGGTTCCGTTGTGTTCACTTCTGTTGTGGTCAGCCCTGACCCAGAGCCACATGGGAAGGGGGCCTGGGACACGTGGCCCCCCGGGTTAGCCAAGTCAGCGCATGACAAGCAGTGGATCACACCCATCACAGTCATTCCAATCTCTGATTTCTCAGGTGGCAGCATAGATAATGTCTTGTCCCAGATTGCCGCTCAGAGGAAGAAAGCAGCCGGGTTGTCGGAGCAGAAGCCTAGCCAGCGGACCAGTCCTGTTGGGCCAGCACCAGGGTCCAGCCCATCGGAGCTCCCGGTTTCTCCAGCAGTGGGCAGCGTTCCCAGCAACAAGGTGCTGCTCTGTTTCATCTCCTCTCGATCCTAACCTGGCCCTAGGTGCTCGGGGGCGTGAGAGGTGGCACAGCTGTACGCCAGGGTAAAAGGCAGGTTCCTCTCAGCTGGCCTCTCAGAAAGTCCAGGCTCATTGTCCCCAACTCGTGAGATTGTTTGGAGCTGTGAGACACACCTGTACCTGGCTGGGGTTGCAGCCTCCTGCCTGGTCTCCAGGTTGGGAGGAGCCAGCTCCTCAGCCCCTGTGCTGGTCACCCAGCCTCAAATGGTGCACATGTCTCTGTCAGAGCACAGTGTTTTAGAGCATGGGCTTAGGACTGCCTGGGCTCAAACCCCAGAGCCACATGTTGGCATTTAGAATGGGGCCTGGCGTGAGTGTGAGCTAGCTCTGTTCTTAGCATCCCTTGGGGCCTTAGTACTCTGTCCTAGTTAGTCACTGCCCACTTGTTGGGAACATCAACCCCGTGCCAGCAGTGAGGCCCCTATTGTCCATCTGCTAACCAGGGGGCTTGGTGACCACCCTCATTGTGTATACTCTGGTATGAGTGTGTACTCTGGTGAGGGTGCTGTGGGCACAGGTGAGGGTCCCTACCAGTAACTTCTGAACTTGGGTCTGAAGGATGAATGGTGAGGGGTGGTCAGACTGTTCCAGGGTGAGGAACAGCCTGTGTAAAGCTCCTGAGAAGAGTGGACGTGCGGGAACCTGAAGCAGGCCTGTGGGCCCCGCAGAACCGAACAGAGCCTCCGCTCTTACTGCTGGGTGCCATGTATCATTGTTGCAGTCGTCCCATGGGGGATCCCCAGAGTGTGGGCACCTAGCTGGGAATGTGAAACAGCTTCTCTACCCGGCTCCCCATCAGTGTCCCCCAGTAGTTCAGAGTAGCTCATGGCCTCGTCCAAAAGGATCCCAAGTCCAGACAAAACCTCATGTTTTCTAGCTGTCTTCATCATCTTTTCTAGCTGTCATAACTTTCTCACAGAGAAAAGTTAGGTCCCCAGAAAGCCTCATCCCTGGACTTCTGGCCACCACACAAGTACCTCCTGAAATTTATGGTTTAATCAGTGGATGGAGAATGTGCTGTTGATAAAAGACCCTTTGTGTTCTTCAGAGTTCCTATGCAATACTGTTGTTCAGTGCTCTGGAGTTGGTTCTGATTCATGGTTACCCTCTGTAGGGTTTCCAAGGAGCAGCTAGTGGGTTTAAAGTGCCTACCTTGAGGTTAGGAGTCCAGTGCTGATCCTTCAGTGCCAACCCAGGACCCCACCTTATGCAGTGGTGATGGTGGCAGTAGTGTGCCTTGGAGTCGGTTCCCAATTACAGTGACCCTAGGCTGTAAATCTTTATGGAAGCAGAAAATTTCGTCTTTCTCCAACGGAACAGTTGGTAATTTTGAACTGCTGACCTTGAGGCTAGCAGCTCGAATTGTAACTGCTACACTACCAGAGCTCCTTACCTTAATGCAGTGTTGTTGTTGTTAAGTGCTGTTGAGTCGGTTCCGACCCATAGCGACCCTGTGCAGGGTTTCCGAGGAACAACTGGTGAGCTAGAACCACCAACCTTGCTGTTCAAACGAACTTTGCAGCCCCGCTCACGCCTCCTCATGCACTGTCTGTGCACTGCAGGGTGGGAGCTGGCTGGACATTGCACAGGGAAAAGTAAGGACGTTGCTGACCAGGCCCCCCTTCAGAGTGTGGTGGCAGCTTCTTCACTGCTTCCCCCTCTGGTTCTCATGTGCAGCACCAATACCTACAGAACCGGTTCCTTTACACTTGGCAGAGCCCTGGTGGTGCAGTGGTGAAGTGTTTAGCTGCTAATTAAAAGATTGGTTGCTTAAGTGTACCAGGTTCTCAACAGGAGAAAGATGTGGCAGTCTGCTTCCATAAAGATTTACAGTCTTGGACACCCTATAGGGCAGTCCTATTCTGTCCTGTACGGTCACTATGAGTACAGATCGACTCTGTGGCAGTGTGTTTGTTGTTTACATTTTAGCTCCAAAAAAGAATTTGTCCCTACACATTAGCATTATGTTGCAATTATTTGGATAATGCTGTTGTTGTTAAATGCTGTCAAGTCAGTTCTGACTCATAGCAACCCTGCATAGGGTGTCTGGTGAGCGGCTGGTGAGTTTGAACCACTGACCTTTCTATTCTAACCGACCTTACGGTTGATTGTTCATCACACAGTACCATACCAGGATTTCACTTGGGTAATGGTTAAGTCCCATTGAGTCAGTTCCGACTCATAGTGTCTGTGTTGGGGTTTCCAAGGAGCAGCTGGTATGTCATTAAAATGTTTTTAGATTTCAGCTCTTGAAAAAAAAAAGCTCTACAGATACTTTGATGCATTTTTTTTTATTAGATACTAAGCATTATATCAGGAGCTCTGGTAGCGTAGTGGTTACGAATCGGGCTGCAAACCTTAAGGTCAGTGGTTCGAAACGACCAGCTGCTCCGCGGGAGAAAGATGAGGCTTTCTACTCCCATAAAGATTTACACCCTCGGAAACCCTGTACAGGGTCGCTATGGGTCGGAACCGACTCGACGGCACTTAACAACAACAACAACTAAGCATTATATAATTTGTTGTGTTTCTTTTTTTGTCCTTACCGCTGGGAAACTCAAAGCTGCTGTCAGCTTGCTAGTATGGAGCTTTGGTAGTGTTTCCCTTTTCTCTGTTATCTAAAAGTTTTGTTTCTATTTTGATGATTTTAGATATGTTAGGTATTAGCTTCCTGTAATCAGTGTTGGACATTGGCAGCCTAAATTGGGTCTAAATTATAAATTATGTTGGATGTTACTTTGCTTGGATACATCTATCAAATATAATTTATGTACAAATATATTCTGATGAAAGGAAATGACAAAAGATACATTGAAGAAACAGTAAACTGGGAAACGGATCCATTTCAACGATTATTTGATACTTTTAATGTCACAATGATGCCGGAACCATTGGGAGTTGTTTAAAACTGCTGGTTTCTGGGCTTCAAGCTGAATTGGACTTGAAGGGAAGGATCTGGGGATCTGTCTTTTCCTCCGGAGAGTTTGTTGTAACAGCCCAGCCCGGGGCTGTTAGAAACCACTGCCCTAAATCTTAGGACACAGAAGTGGGTTTTCTGTCAAAGGCTCCAGCAGTAAAATGAAGACAAGAAGGACTTTACAAAGACTCCCTTAGGAAAAGTTAGAAATTAGCATGCAGCACACAAGCCTCCTGAATCTGGTTCTTGCACTTTGCTTAAAACAAACAACACACTGTGATGGTGTGTTCACAAGACTTGGACTCGAAATGTTCAAGATTCAGCATCGAGAACGTCAGAGGATACCAGAAGTGGTTGGATCAGCGTCTGTGCCAGCATTTCCCAGATCTCTGGAGACCTGAGTGGGCACATGAGGTGCATCAGCTTTCTCTGGCCACCCTAAGGCTCGGTGACTTTAATGGTCTTTATGTAGCTCATGAATCTGTAGGCTGGCAGTTTAGTCTGGGCTTAGCTGAGCAGTTCTTCTGGTCTGAGTGGGGTCATTTATGACTGGCTGTCTGCTCAGATGACCAGGATGCTGGGTCGTGTGTATCTTATTTCCATTATTCCTTTCATGGCTATGACAGAAGGCAAGAGGTGGAGAAGCCAGTAATTAAGCAGGTTGGTGTGCCCATTGCAGGAGAGCTCAGAGTTAGAGGGCAAAGTGTATGGATCTAGGGAGGGTTGCAGATGGCATCATTAGTGCAGTCAGTCTGCCATGCTTGGGGGGGTCTAAGGAATCGTCGCAGTATTTTAGAGACTCTCAGATCATTTTATACCTACCTGCTCTTTCTCTTCCCAGTATCTGGAGTATTATGTTTCTTTGCTTTTAAATGGATTGGATCCAGTTTGTAGGGATTTACTAGTTATTGCTTTAAGGTAAGCACCAAGACTGTCAACTGCAAGGTCAGAAGTTCAAACCCATCGAACACTCCTCGGAAATCCAACACAGCTTCTCTATGAGTCAGAACCGATTTGACGGCACTTAGCAACATAACAGTATTGTAGATAAATAAAGTAGAAAAAAGCAGGGGGAGGGAATTTATTGACATAGGCAACTCATTGACAAGAATCTTTCCAAATCTGAAGGAGGAATTTATTTATCTTCTCTGGGGTGTTGTCAGCTGGAAGGAACACTGAAGGCCCAGTATAAAAACAGTTGTAGCTCTTTTCAGGTATAAAAACTATTTACCTGAGTCTCTACTATCCTATATGAGTCGGTTCCGACCCATAGCGACCCTGTACAGGGTTTCCAATGGTGTAAATCTTTACGGGAGTAGAAAGCCTTATCTTTTTCCCGTAGAGTGGCTGGTAGTTTCAAACCGCTGACCTTAAGGTTCACAGCCCGATTCGTATCCACTTCGCCACCAGAGATCTTACTATCCTATATAAGAAGCCCAATTTTTAGCTGGAATTCGAAGGCATGCAAAAAGACAAGAAGAAAAACCATACTCCCAAAGAAATAAAGCCGTCCTCAGAGTGAGATGCAGGGAATTTAGAACAATGTTATTACAGTGTGAGAGGCTCCCCTGGAAAATGTGGACTGCAGCTGAATCACGCAGGTAGCTTCAGCAGAGTGACAGGAACTGCAGGGAAGAACCAAGTTGGACACAGTAACAGAGATGGGGGCAGTCTTCATGGACTGACTGGTGGACTTGACACAGCCAAGAAAAGAATCGTGAATTTGAAGCTGATGGTGGTGGTAATGTGCTGTGGAGTCAATTCCGACTCATAGCCATATCCGAGGCTATAAATCTTTACAGGAGCAGAAAGCCTCATCTTTCTCCTTAGGAGCGGCTGGTGGGTTCAAACTGCTGACCTTGTGATTAGCAGCCCAACTTGTCACACACTATGCTACCAGTGCTCCTTGATGTTGAAAGTAGGTCAGTATGAATAACCCAGACTGTGACACACTCACATGTACAAGCAAGAATAGAACACCCCAATATCTTAAGATGTCAAATGCTCTAGCACTCAGGTAATCGGAAGCCCTGAAAGAAGGAAAAGGGTGAGAGAAACAGTCCAACAAAAGGAATATTAAATAATGACCAAGACTTTCCCCAAATTATTGACAGACACTAAATGGCAAGACACCAAGCTGGGGCATTAAGAGAACATTAAGCAGAATAAATAATACAGTGCCCTAGGCATTTCACATGTAAATGACTGAAAACAAAAGACAAAGAGAAGGTCTTGAAGGTGGCCAGAGAAAACACCAAAAACTGCATTCTCTGTTTTTGTTTGAATGTTTTCTGGTCCTCTAGGTTCTTGCTTAAGTATGTGTCTCAATCTCTTCTGCAGAAATTAGAGACAGACAGAAGGCCTCAGTCAGGAACATCGACTACCTCCAAAAGCACCTCCCCCACCCTCACACCCTCGCCTTCACCCCAGGGGCACACTGCCGAGTCCTCTGTGTCTTCGTCCTCGTCCCACCCGCAGTCCAAGAGCAGCGGGGGATCCAGCAGTGGCACCATCACAGACGAGGGTGAGTCTTGGAGCAAAGTTTGCCAAAGGGCTCTTAGGTTCTTTAGCATTCCTAGCTTAACAAAAAAAAGTAAGCAAAAAATTGCTCCCCGTTCCCTGATTCTACCTTATATTTTTCTCTCCATTATAAGGACTTCTTATATAAAATCCCTCAAGTGCTTTTAGCATGGAGGTAAGTTTTGTTTCTATGCACAAATGCAACACCCTGTAAATGCTTCCGTAACACCTAGTTATATATACTAGTCCCTGAACTCTGTGTAAAGTTGCTGCAAGTGATAAAAGTGTCACTCAAACTGGCATAAGCAAGCAAACAAAAAGGGTAATTCACTGGTTTATATAATAGAAGCGTCTAAGGTGTGTTTCAGGCATGTGTGCATCTAGGTGCTTTGGGACTATTCCTCTCCCTAGGTTCCGCTCTGCAAGCGGTGGCAGGGATAGCCAGCTGCAGGTCCAAGCTTACTTCCTGTTCCTATTAACTTAGCAGCTTCAGCAGAAAGCACGCCACTTTCTCAGCAGTGCATCAACATCCCACGGGGAAAGTCATGGCCTGATGTGGCCATTTGCACATCCTCAGTCATCTCAGTATCCATGATGGGGGAGGGAATACTGAGTTGGCCAGGTCTGAGCCGGTCTGCCCTTTCTGCTGTGTGGACCACAGTGTGGGAGAAGAGGCTTCTCAAAGGAAGACCTAGGCACCGTTTCCAGAAGGAGGAGAGGGAGGGAAACTGGGCAAGCAAAAGCAGCCTGTGTCCACCACAGCCTGGAGAACTTCACAGTCTGCTTGTGTACCAGCCCATCCTGTGGGGAGGATCGGGGGTAGAGGGGAGACTGGTGGATGCCAAGGCCCAAGATGACAGAAGTGAAGTAGAGTCCCATATGTTAACTGTCCTCCAGAGGGCTCCTGGAAGCTGGGAGGAGGGAGCTGAGAGCTTTGATGAGCGATGGGGCCCAGGCAGGTGCCAATTGTGGAGTATGAGTCAGAAGAGCAGGAGCTCATGGTGTGTATTCCCCTCCTGGATGCAGCAGTTAAGAAATCAAACAGCATAGTTCCAGGGGGCAAATATGTTGCAAATGAGTAAGGAAGACCAGAAAAGGACTGATGCATTTGAATTTTGCTGTTGGCAAAGAATATTGAATGGATTGCCGGAAGAATGAACAAATCTGTGTTGGTAGAAGTACAGCCAGAATCCTCCTTAGAAGCAAGGATGGTGAACCTTTATTTGATGTAATTTGGACATGTTATCAGGAAGGGCTCGTCTCTGGAAAAGGACATCATGCTTGGTAAAGAAAGAGGGTCATTGAAAAAGATGACCCTCAACAAGTTGGATTGATCCAGCAGCTCAAACAATGGGCACAAACGTAGCAGCAGTTGTGAAGATGGTGCAGGGCCAGGCAGTGTTTTGTTCTGTTGCATCACAGATAGCGTCACTGTGAGTCAGCACACACTCAGTGGTACCTAACATTGTCCTCACAGACACATGCTTGAGCTTGAGTCTGCTGGGAGGAAAGTGCTGAGCAGCCTCAGAGCAAGCGATGGAAAGTTGAAATCAACCAACCCCCCCCCCCCACACACACACCCAGGCTCCTGTTGTCTGAGTTGGCACGTGTGTGCTCCTGTTAACATCTCTGTTTAGCAGTAGCCTTTATTTTATGATATCTAGTGTAGTGGATTACATGTTGGACTGATAACTTCAAGGACAGTAGTTCAAATCTACCAGTTGCTCTGTGGAAGAAAGATGAGACTTTCTGCACCTGTAAAGATTTATAGCCTCGGAAACCACGTACAAAGTAGCTGTGAGTTGAAACCGACTCCACAGCATATTCCCACCACCACTATGACCCTGGTGATGCTCAGCTGCTAAACAAAAGGTTGGTGGTTCAAACCTATAAGCCACTCCATAGGAGAAAAACGATTTGCAGCCTCAGAAACCCAGTGGGACAGTTCAACTCTGCCCTATAGGGTTGCTAAGGGTCAGAGTCAACTTGAAGGCCGTGTTTTTAGCATGATCATTTACATAAAGACAACTTCATTCTTCCCTGTGTGGGAGTTTTAAGGTTACCACTCACAATTCTCCCACTTTTGAAATTTTCAGGAATTAAACCCCTAAAGATTCAGTTAGGAATTCATATCCCATATTTTTCCAAAATAATTGAGACAGTATATTGGTATATGGAGTCCGTGGGTAGTACCACTGGTTAAGCACTTGTTTACTAACTGAAAACTTGGGGGTTGAATCCACCCAGCGGTGCCACAGAAGATAGACCTGGCAATGTGCTTATAAAAGGGCACAGCCACTGGACCCCTGTGCTCAGAAACCAGACGGCGTGAGCGTGAGTCAGCCTTAACTCGAAGGCAACTGGCAGATAGATCTGTGTGCACTGCTCACTCCTGCTCTCCTTCCCGCTCATGTATTAGAACATACATAGTTTCAGAAAACAAACAAAAAAACATTTGCCAGCCCCTGAAGAAAAACAAGGACACAACAGTAGTTTCTTTTTAGATTCCCTTCTTGGACTTGGAGAGGGCCAGCTTTGCCTGTCTGGAGTTCCTGGGTCATGAGTTAGCCAGACCTTTGCCCTGTGGACACAAGATTGTCATAGGACAGGGCTCCCATCCTATCCCCAAACAGCCGTTCTTTGTATTTTAGAAGGTGTGTAGCTCCAGTTGAGGACTGCGTGCAGACCCTTTCTCCATCTGTCCCCCTGCATCCCATCCTCAGTTCCACATTCATTTCATGAGGCTTTCTCAGACAGCCACTGGGGGCTGTAACCTGTGCTGGGAGTTTGTGTAATTCACAGTCTGTACCCCTAGCAAAGCAGTTTGTCGTCTAGTTGGGGAGATAGAAGCACATTCAGAATAGTAGTATTGAAGGATTGCATCGCAGATGGGAGCAGACCTGTGTTCTAACAGCACAGTGGGCCAGGGCACCTTCACTGAGGAGTGAGCGGAGACGAGATGGGCAGTGGTGTGCCCCAGTGAGGCCAGGCTGGCTCACCACAGCCAGTTATTAAACATAGCCATTATTCACAATTCAATTATATGAACTTGCAATGAGATAACTAAATTAAATATAAGGGCTTATTTATTATATTAAAAGGGGGAAGTATTATTTGTTAATTTTTTTATTGCATGTTACTGTTATTCGTGCTCTTGAGACTATTTACGTATTCTGCATCTGTGTTGTTGGTACACTGTATAATGCCTACTTCTGCATATGCCTCCCAACACCACTGTCAGGAACATCAGCTTGGTAGCGTGAAATTGACTATGATTGGGGTGTTTACACATGGCAGTCAGCAAACCCCACCAATATGGGCCTGATTGATTGTTTTGTAGACCGACTAGACTTAAAAATAATGATGGAGGAAGTGTTAATAATGTATACACTTAAAAGTGTCGACACATCTGCGGCCATTACATTGTGAACAGCATTAAAAATTGAGGAGATACTCTTCCAGTATTGAAAACCATTATCTGACTCGACAAAGCTGCTCACATGACATTCTAGCATATAACTTCACTGTTTCATTTTCATTTTACATATTCACATCAACAAAAATAATCATCCAACATTCATGTTGGAACTGCACTCATTAGCTGTGGATACAAGAGTTGGGCAAAAATCAATGAAAACATTCTGTAGGAATCAATTGACTAAATGGAATTTACAATAAAGAATATTGTATACTTTATTTGTATATCATGTGCTATGCATTCTTTATGTTGGTAAATTTTTCAGTACAAGTATGGAACTTAAAAATGCAAAGAATCAGTTGTTAAACACTGGACAGAGTCCTGGATCTGGAGGGAAAGCAGAAACAAAGCTTTGGCGTCATGAAGGCGGAAAGGAAGTCAATTGTGTCATTCATACTCTGTAGCAGCTTCTCTGTGAGCCCTTTCTTAGTCCCTTGGACTGGCCTGCTGCCTTCTCTGTCCCAAGAGCCCCTGCTAGCCCCTTCACCATATTGCTTCTCAGTGACGAGAGAGGCCATGGAGCTTATGAGCAGACCCAAGATCTGGGTGTGAATCTGTGCAGTGCCATGGACTAATGGTATGACCTCACCCGAGATATGGGCCCTAACCTTTCCTTACTGTTTTACGTAAATGGAGACAGTAATAGGGCTTGCCTCCTGGGCTGGTGTAAAGCACAGTGAGCCTTCCATGTTCAGGTGCCTAGTATGAGTGCTATGCATTAGCTTCATCCTCATCAGATGTCTTTCCTGCCTCAGGGGGCACCTTTCCAGCAAGGACTCTTCTATTCTTGGGCCCCAGCATGCAACCGGCTCACTGGTAGTCACTACTGAATGAATTAATGAAGAAACAAAAGTGAGACCCTAGGCCTCCTAATCTCCCCATACACTCTGAACTATACCCACTGCCTCAGGGCCTTTGCACTTGCTGTTCATGCTACCTCCCAAGATCACCGTATTACTCTCTATAAAGCAACATCCACTACTACTTTGGTATCTACCCCTACCTTCTCTGTTCTTCTCTGAATTTGACTAACCACCCTGCTTACTGTCTGTTTTGGTCCCTGCTGAATCCCCAGTGCCTGCTCTAGAAAAGCTCTGTTGCATGTATGTGTGAATATTTCTTTTAGCCCCCCAGATGTTGAACATATGAATGTTACAGTATTTCTTCCAGCCTGCTGAATGTTGGCTTTGTCTCCATTCTTTATCCTCCCTGCTCTGATACTTTTTTTTTTCTTTCTTTTTTTATTATGATTTGCATGGAAGTTCATAGAACAAAATGGTTTTCCATTCAGTAATTGGTATACACTTTGTTTTATGACGTTGATGGCAATATGTGTCACAGACCTCGTCCCACTTCTTCCCTGAGGCTACTGTTTGCCCGTCTCTCCTCATCCCTTCCTGCCTTCGGAGTCTTAACCAGGCAAAGACTGCCCTTGGGTTGGTTGTGAGTGCATAACTCGCGGGTGTTATTATTCACCTTATAGGTTTGTCTGTTGTTTGGTTGACTGGTGAGCCATGGGGACCTGCTCTGGTATCTTGATACTCAAAACCTGCTGCTGTTTTCCAGTGGTCTTCCCCTCCTGGGGAAGCCCATAACCACCATACACTTGAGCCGAACACCACATTCTGCTCCAAGGCCACCTGCCTGTTGAGATCTTTCTCTGACAAGCTGAGGACTTGCAGGCACTGCAGCCAGCAGTCAAGAAATCATTTAAAGGCATTCTTAGAAGGCAGGCTTTTCCACCTAGCAGCTGGAGTTCCCGGAATTTCAGGGCTGTAGCCTTTTCCATCACTGCTCTTCGCAGCCTAATTTGGGGTTTCAGGAGTTGCCGATGGTATGTGTTGAGGGGAGAGTGGCTGACTTGGCCACACAGGTTTGGGACTTAGATCTGCTTTCTGGGTTAGAGTTCCTTCTAAGATTTCATTTGAAACAAAGATTACCACCGTTTTGTAGGAAAGTTTGCAGACTATTCTTTCAGAGACGTTGTATAAGATTCTAAAATGTGGCTGTTCTACATCTTTCTCTCGAAGATGAGCTGACTGGAATCCTTCAGAAATTATCACTTGAGAAATACCAGCCCATTTTTGAGGAACAAGAGGTAAGGATGTTCGTTTTGAATTACCAGTTTAAATCTTGCTATAAAAAGAAAACATATTTTATCTGAGTATGTGGGTTTTCATTCTGCACACCTGGATCGCTTTTTCACTAAGACAGCTGAGGAAATAGAATGTGTGTTCAGTACATTTAGTTCTTTACAGTGAAATCCTGGGAACCTATGGCTTGTTTTTCTATCATTAAATCGTGTAGTTGCAAACACTGCCTTCGCCAGTAAAGTTTGTTATCAGGGATTGACCAGGTCCAAAAGCAAATTCTGATGAATCCTAATGTCTTAAATATCGGGATTTAGGGTCAGTGTTAATCTGAGCGAGTTCTTGTTTATTTTAAACCTTTCAATATCACATTTAATATCACATTCTGCAGTTTTAATACTTCCTCAAATTATTAAGTTATTCTGTGCCCCAGCAATTCCATTCCTAGGTGTATATCCAACAGGAATGAAAACATATGTGCATACAGACATCTGTACACAGTATCCACAGAACCATTGTTCATAATTGATGAATGAATGGGAACATATGGTATGTCTATGCAACGGAATGTCCTTTAACAATCCAAGTACTGATCCATGGTACAACTTGAATGAACACGATGCTAAGTAAGGAAGGCCACATATGATTCCACTTAAATGAAAGTTTTAGAATAAGCAAATCTATGGTGACAGAAAGTAGATTCGTGGTTTCCCTGGGTTGGGGAGAGGAGGGAATGGTGACTACCTAATGGGTATGGGCTTTCTGACTGGGGTGATAAGAATACCCTACAATTGATTGTGGCGATGGTGGTACTAGGCTGAAAATGATTGAGTCAGATGCTTAAATGGATGAGTTGTACGTACTTAAAGTGGTCTGTTTTGCATCATAAAATACCCCTCCAGGCCCACACCCTACAAGTGTAATTGTAGGTTACAAACGATCCTGTGTCCAGCTCAGTACATGACCAACAACAGCCTCATAGTCACAGTGGTAGATGTCAGTGTCCCTGCCAAGTTTGAGACCCACTTGTGGAGCTTGTATTTTTGTTCAAGGAATAGACAAGAGGCACAGTGACTTCTGTATCAGTTTGCCTTTGTGTCACATCCAGTCTTCTCTCCCTGTCTCCTTGGCGTTGTAAAATTCTGCCCTGATTTTTTCCCATCACCAAGAAATCTTTCTTGCTCACTGATGGCCATCTGCAGCTTTTGTTTTGTGTGTCCCATACCCCTGGACCCTTGGGCAGAACCTAATTTGTGAGGCTATAGCATTTTCCACTGGAGTCCTGGTGTGGCACTGGGGGCTAATGCGCTGGATTGCAAAGTTGGTTTGAATTGCAAGGTTGGTGGTTCAAGCTCACCAGCTGCTCCTTGGAAACCCGATGCAGGGTCCCTAGTCAGAACCGACTCGACAGCACTTAACAACAAAAACAAGCATTGTCCATTAGGGTGACTCCTAGTGAGGAGGACCCAGGCAGACAACAGTCCCTTCATTCTCTGGGAAAGCCATAACGCATTAATAAGGGAGGCGTTCCTTAGGAGACATGCGTACGAGAAACCAGTGGATCTGGCAGCTGTGATGCCTGAAGGACTATGTGATGCTGTGGATGAAAGCAGGTTTGTTTCCTGACTCTGCCATGTACGAACTATGTGGCACTTCAGGTGCTAAAAAGCAACCAAACAACCTCTCGGTGCCTCTGTTTCCCTATCTCTAAAATGGAGATGAAAATGTGAGGTTTAAATGATACCATCTCTGTAAAATGCACTGAAAATGCTTTAGTTGCTCTATCTTCCTCATCATCTGACACTGGGACTGGCTTCCCAGGGGGCCTATGGGATTGGATTCTGCCTGGGTGACGTGTTGTGGGTGGGTTTACTTTGTCATTGGCATTTTTGAGCCCTTCATCCACCCTGACGTGGAGGGAGAGAAACTGAGGTGTGTAATACCCTTCTCAGGGAGTAGGGGTACAGATTCGGGTATCGGGGCCCCGGCAGGGCTGCTAGGATTCCACCTGTAGAAACCAAGGAGCCTGAGCTTGTGAGTCCTGCACCCTTCTCCCGCTCTGTGCTCAGCTGCCCCTGCCCTCTGCTTCTGTTTGTTTACTTTCTCATTCTGTCTTTCCACAGTCTGCATCTCTCTTGTTCTCTTTGAGGGCCACGTGGTGAGTACTGCTGTGTACCCACATTTTGCTGTGCAGTATTCAGTATTGCTGTCAGGGAATCCCTTTGTAGAGCAGGAGCTCACGGCAGTCCCATGTGTGCAGGGTAGAACTGCCCTGACCTTTTGATCTCCAGATCTTTCTTCCAAGGCACTTCTGGGTGGGTTTGAACCACCAACCTTTTGGTTAGTATTGTAGTGCTTAACAGTTTGAACCACCAGAAATCTTCAGGAACTGGAATCAATGGGGTGGCAACCGATGGTGGTGGTCCACCCAGACTGTTGTCTCGAAACCTCCTTGTTTCATTTCTAGGGTTTTCCCAAAGTGCATCTATTTTGAAAACCCAAGCGCTAGAGCTGTGAAGATTTTTCCAACTAAACTTTAATCATGAAGTGAGAACCTGGAAGTCACAGTGATAATTAAGTCACTAAGAGAAGTCCAATAGGTCACAATCATGGTGTGTCTGTTGTGGGGGAAAGAGAGGCATGGCCCCAGGCAGATGAATGTGAAACCCACTTCTGTCCTTCCAGGTGGACATGGAAGCCTTCCTCACGCTCACCGATGGCGACTTGAAGGAGCTGGGGATCAAGACAGATGGATCCAGGCAGCAGATTTTGGCAGCGATATCTGAATTGAACGCAGGCAAGGTATTATTCTCGATCTCTTATTTGTGGTTCAAACAGCTAAGACCTTCACCAGGATCCCAGGCCCTGGGTAGTTTTGAGGGCCTCTGGGGTGATCTGATGTTATCTCTGGCACAGCTGACAGGTCACCTTGCATGCTTCTCATGACTGAGCGCTCACTACCCCCGAAGTGAGCTGTTCCTTTACAGTTAAGAGGTTTCTGCACAGATCCACAGCCCCCCTTAGCACAGAGTTCTGCCCTGCAGCGAGCCATAGACTATAGCAGAACCCCTGGTTCAGATTGGCTCTGGAGCCAGGAGGCCAAGTGTTACCTGGGCCACGTTGCACACCTTTATGAGCCTCCATTTCCTTGTCTGTAGGGCGGAAGCAGTGGGGATGTTATAGGAACTGACATGCTTAGAACACCTGCACATAGTAAGCCAACCAGGACTATTACTGTTGACAGCCTGCGTTTTTGTCTAAAGTTCCATTTGTTGCATCAGCTTTAAAGCCGAAGATTTGCAGTGCCTTCCCTTGCCACCTACCCAAAGACAACACAAACAAAGAAAGCAAGACAGAAGCAAAGCTGAGCAGCAGCACTGTGGGAACAATAGTTTTATACAGTTGTGGTTGGACTATTTCTGTGTCTTCCCTTAGCATGATAAAGGATGGAGTTTGCTGGAAATATTCTAGCAACAATCTGTAATGCGTGCTAACCTGTTGCTTTTACACACTCTGCCTACCAGCTTCCCCCTTGTTGGATAATAGTGGCATGACTGTGGCTTTGTCATTATGAATAGCAACGTTGTGGACATCTCTGCCTTTTTCCTTTTTCTTTTTTTTAACCCCCTCAAGCTGTGTTCTACAATACAAGTTTGTATCAGAGAGTGTGACCAGTTTTGTGGTTCTTTTTATATATTGCCAGGTTATGCACAGAAATATTGAATAGCCTTATGTAGCGCCAGCAGCAAATACATATTTATGTAGCACTTTATCATTTACAAGTCACACTGCTCGTGTAGCCTCTGTTAATCCTCACCATGGCCCGGCCTGGCCTCACACTTCTTGCCTAGCTGGTGAGGAGGCACGGGGAGGGGATAGTTGCACCCCCGCCACATAGTGGGTGAACTGCAGAGCAGGTCCTTGGTCTCCTGACTGCTGCCCCACGTTTTCCCTGCTGCACTGTGTGACAGTGGCTGCTCTCAGTCCCACCAGCAGGGTGCTGTTCTTGTTGTAGCCAATGCCTTCTTCATCTTACCTGTCATTAGGCTGTGGGCTGGCCCTTCACAATGATTTCATCAACTTTGCTTCTGGCAGTTATAAGTCAGTACTTTTTTCCTGGCTTCTTTATTATTCTTTCTTCCCTGAAATGGTGTGTTCCTAGCCATCAGTCACCCCTGTTGTAAGGACTGGACTGCCTAACTTTGTAGATGGGGAAGCTAAGGCTCCATCTGACCCTGGACTCCCAGCCCAGCCCTGATTCTGCCCTGTGGCCCAACGTGCAGGGGCAGGGGGCGGGCGGCGAGGGAGGCAAGAGTGGTGGTCTTGGCCGTTAGGAGGTGCATCACCAGGTGGTTCACAGAAGATAGGCAAGCTAAGACAAGGAATGCAGTCTTCCATGCGGTCAGTTTTTCATGAGACTAAAGTGCTCTGGGTACCTGCAGTGCCCCCCGTGCTGTGTGGGCATAGGGCACATGGTCAGGCTGTGTACTCTGAACATTTATTTCATCACCACAGAACGCTCTGAGGTCAGTCCCAGTTTGTATTTGAAGAAACTAAGCCACAGAGAGATGTAGAGACTCGCCCAAAGTTGCACAGCTAGTAAGTGACAGAGCCAGGATGGGAACCCAGAGTTTGTTTCCTGGCTACCATGCTATGCTGCCTCAGGGAAACATACCAGCACCCGGAGAATCAGGCGAGGCCGGAAGGTAAGGCCTGAGAAGCGGTTTCTGAGGAAGTGTCAGGAGGCTGAGGTCTGAAGGAAGAGTGGATGGAAGGCGTAGAAGGAAAAAGCTGCCAGGCAGAGGGGGGCAGGCGTGCCAAGGCTTCAGCACAGAGAGCAGGCAGCCAAGGGGACGGGAGATCATGGCTTACAGGGTGATCAAAAGTGGCCCATTTGAGTAAGGGCAAGGGGATGAGGGAGCTGCAGTGAAGGGACTGTCCTCGTCCTGGCCTCCAGAGGCCATGTATGTGAGGCCAAGAGAAGACCGAGGTGGGAAGAGAGAGCAAAGCAGTCCAGTCAGGGAAGAAGGACCGAGGGTTCGGATGTGGGGGCAGTTAAGACAGAGCTCAGGAGGACATGACCAAGAGGATGATCAGGCCCTGGCAGATGGTCACTGCTGGTGCTTCTGAAACCTCCCCTCTGGCTTCGGGGCCAGGATTTCCTGGGCCCAGAGTCATAAAAAGTAGACAGACTAGGCTGGTTTATAAACTTTAGGATGATAAGTGGGCATCGTCAGACTGCACAATGAGGAATCCTAAGACCGCTCCAAAGGAGGGCATTTTTCTGGTAATGTATATAGACTGACTCTTTTCTAGTTTTCTTCCAGATTCCCGGTGCTCCTACTCCCTGTTCCCCTGTTCCCACAGCAGTCTGCATCCAGTCCTGACCTCTTCCCCCATCCTCTCCCTGCAGTGCTGGGAGAAACAGACCACCTACTCCCACCATGTCTTCCCATAGCAGCATCTACCCTGAAAAACTTAAGACTGGCACAGCAGTGGCTACAAGGGGCAGGAGTCAGCCCTGGCTGCCTTGCTGGAGAAAGGCCTTGTCCTTTGGGGACAGTTGTTGTTAAGTGCCATCGTGTCAATTCCGACCCATAGTGACCCTGTTCAGGGTTTCCAAGGAGCGGCTGGTGAGCTTGAACCACCAGCCTTGCAGTTCAGATGACTTTGCAGTCTGACGCATTAGCCCACTGTGCCGCCACAACAGGGACAGTAGTTCCCAATAAAAGTGCCCTGGAAGTGAGGCCACAAGTTACAGCCTGCTGCAGAGCAAAGCGTGATTGAGCGAAGTGTAGTATTATAAGATGAGTTTATGTCCTATTGCACTAAATCTAGGTTATCTTTGCTACTGTGAGTGCATGCAGCTGCTTCAAATGGGCCAAGAACTTTCAGGCCGAGTGTGACTTCCAGGAGACCTGCTTAGGGCTCTTAGATGCCCGGGGCCTCCGCTCCCTCTGCACCGTGCTGGCCTGGCCCTGCTTCCAAGGCTTGATGACCTGAGCTTCTCCTTCTAAGGTTCACACTTTTTCTTCTGCAACCCAAGAGAGTTCCCGCTACAGTACTGTACAAATGTGAGCTCCCAGGACAGGACAGGACAGGTGGTGAGGGGAGGCTCAGCATTCCTGGCTCACAGTGTTTTTCTAGTGACTCTTGCTGGTGGGTTGTGGAATTAGTTTAGGGGTCGCAAGCAGCATTTAAAAAATGAAACAGAATTGAATAGAAAATATTACCGTGCTTCTTCATAGGTAGGGAGGGTGCATCTTGTTTGAGTTTATATGTATATATACGTGTGTGTGTATGTATACATATATGTGTGTATGTATATATGTATATATATGTGTGTATATACATATATGTGTATGTATATATACATATATGTGTGTATATACATATGTGTGTATGTATATATACATATATGTGTGTATATACATATATGTATGTGTATACATATATGTGTGCATATATACATATATGTGTGTATATATACATATGTGTATACATATATGTGTGTGTATATACATATATGTGTATACATATATGTGTGTAAATATACATATATGTGTGTGTATATACACACATATATGTGTGTATGTATACATATATGTGTATATATATACATATATGTGTGTATGTATATATGTGTGTGTATATGTGTGTATGTATATATATGTATGTATACATATATGTGTGCATACATATGTGTGTGTATACATATATGTGTGCATACATATACATATGTGTATGTACATATATGTGTGTATACATATATGTGTGTATGCATGTGTGTACATACATATATGTGTGTATACATGTGTGTATATATACATGTATGTATATATACATATATGTGTGTATATACACATGTGTATATATACATATAT